TATGATAACTGTATAAAAGCTGCCCTAAACAGCTAATCAGTTTAGGATAGATTAAAACTGCTACAATGCATACAATTTGTTACAGTGTTTACTAGGTATTAGGGCTGTACCAAATATTCGCTTCGTATTCGCTTCAGGGCCGAATAGTGGACCTAATAACTATTCGGTATTCGGCCGAATAGTTGCGGTCGGGCCGAATACGAATAGTGATTACCTTACACCCGTTCATGGACTGGTAAAAAATAAACATGTCAAGATTTCCCACCTTGGTTCATACTGTCCAGCGTTATCTTTGTGCACCACCAACGAGCGTACCAAGTGAACGTCTGTTTAGTGCAGCTGGAAATACCTTCAGTGAGACAAGAAGCTGCCTCAATGCTGACAACATTGAACGATTTTTTTGGGTGTGGAAAGCTAATACCGCTTTCATGGATTAATTAAGCTGTCAGTGACAATTAAAAAGTTTAGTTACTTGTTATAAAACTAAGAATACTTTCACTCCTATGTATTAGTTACCACATACTGACTGACTGAAGAATGCAAAACATGAAATGTATTTAAATGTTTACTATTCTGTACTACATTTTGTGAAGTAAAATGTCAGCGTACATTTGACATTATGGATGTTTTCTTTTTAGATCTATTTTATACACGAAAGTGGAAGAATGGGCCTCAGTTTGAATTGGGGGAAGACAGAAGTAATGGTGGTATCAAAGAAAATAATAACTCCTGAATGTTTAATAAAAGTCAATGGTTTTTATTTTGGGACAAGTAAGGAAATTTAAGTATCTGGGCACCTGGATAACTTCAGATGGAAGATGCATTACTGAAATAAGAAACATAATAGGACAGGCACAAACTGCATTTTATAAAATGAAGAACATCTTATGCAATATTTCTTTGTCATTGAAGGTTAGAAAAATAATTTTTGCTTGCTACATACATCCAGTTTTAACAAATGGCTGTAAGTCCTGGACAATCGGTAGACAGGCCAAACAATTTCTTGAAACCTCAGAGATGTGGTATTACAGAACAATGCTTAAAATATCCTGCATAGTAAACGAACATCGAACTGGGGCGAGCGGTGCTCACTACAAGAAGACTAGTGAACGAACATCGAACTGGGGCGAGCGGTGCTCACTACAAGAAGACTGGTAAACGAACATCCAACTAGGGCGAGCGGTGCTCACTACAAGAAGACTGGTAAACGAACATCGAACTAGGGCGAGCGGTGCTCACTACAAGAAGACTGGTGAACGAACATTGAACTGGGGCGAGCGGTGCTCACTACAAGAAGACTGGTGAACGAACATCCAACTAGGGCGAGCGGTGCTCACTACAAGAAGACTGGTGAACGAACATCGAACTAGGGCGAGCGGTGCTTACTACAAGAAGACTGGTGAACGAACATCGAACTGGGGCTAGCGGTGCTCACTACAAGAAGACTGGTGAACGAACATTGAACTGGGGCGAGCGGTGCTCACTACAAGAAGACTGGTGAACGAACATCGAACTAGGGCGAGCGGTGCTCACTACAAGAAGACTGGTGAACGAATATCGAACTGGGGCTAGCGGTGCTCACTACAAGAAGACTGGTGAACGAACATCGAACTGGGGCGTTCAGTGCTCACTACAAGAAGACTGGTGAACGAACATCGAACTGGGGCGTTCAGTGCTCACTACAAGAAGACTGGTGAACGAACATTGAACTAGGGCGAACGGTGCTTACTACAAGAAGGCAGGTAAACGAACATCGAACTGGGGCGAGCGGTGCTCACTACAAGAAGACTGGTAAACGAACATTGAACTGGGGCGAACGGTGCTTACTACAAGAAGACTGGTGAACGAACATCGAACTGGGGCGAACGGTGCTCACTACAAGAAGACTGGTGAACGAACATTGAACTGGGGCGAACGGTGCTCACTACAAGAAGACTGGTGAACGAACATTGAACTGGGGCGAACGGTGCTCACTACAAGAAGACTGGTGAACGAACATTGAACTGGGGCGAACGGTGCTCACTACAAGAAGACTGGTGAACGAACATTGAACTAGGGCGAACGGTGCTTACTACAAGAAGGCTGGTAAACGAACATCGAACTGGGGCGAGCGGTGCTCACTACAAGAAGACTGGTGAACGAACATTGAACTGGGGCGAACGGTGCTTACTACAAGAAGACTGGTGAACGAACATCGAACTGGGGCGAACGGTGCTTACTACAAGAAGACTGGTGAACGAACATCGAACTGGGGCGAGCGGTGCTTACTACAAGAAGGCTGATGAACGAACATTGAACTGGGGCGAACGGTGCTTACTACAAGAAGACTGGTGAACGAACATCGAACTGGGGCGAGCGGTGCTTACTACAAGAAGGCTGGTGAACGAACATCGAACTGGGGCGTTCAGTGCTCACTACAAGAAGACTGGTGAACGAACATCGAACTGGGGCGAGCAGTGCTTACTACAAAAAGGCTGGTAAACCAGCAATGAACTGGGTCGAGCAGTGCTCACTACAGGAAGACTAGTGAACGAACATCGAACTGGGGCGAGCGGTGCTTACTACAATAAGGTTGGTAAACCAGCAATGAACTGGGTCGGGCAGTGCTCACTACAAGAAGACTAGTGAATGAACATCGAACCGAGGCGAGCGGTGCTCAGAGATGTGGCATTACAGAACAATGCTTAAAATACCCTGGGATTAAAAAAAAAAAGCAACCAAAAAGTCTTGATAGAGGCGGAAGCCCGAAGACACCTCCTCACAGACATCAGAAGGAGACAGCCATCATTTTTCGGCCATGTTATAAGATGAGGGAAAATGGAACGTGACCACTGGAAAGATCTGTGGAAGGAGGGATAGAGGAAGAGAAGATTCTTGACAGTCTTGTTGCATGGCATGGAGGTGTGTCAGCACACGAACTAATACATGCTGCAGGAGATCGCAGATTGTGGAGAGGCATAATCGCCCATACCAGTCGGCAAAGCACCTGATGATGATGATTCACTATTCGTATTAGTATTCGGCCGAATATTTGGTCCAGCTATTCGTATTCGGCCGAAAAGTGAAAATCACTATGCCGAATAGTGAAAATCACTATTCGGTACAGCCCTACTAGGTATAGATAATATTGAAATAAAATGACAAAATCATGAAATCTGCTACATAGAAACAAAATCAGTATAGAATAATCGAAGATAATATGGAATGATATTTAATTATATGGTTCAAATCAGCTATATTCTATCATTCAGAAATGGAATACAAATTAAAAGTATTAGCCCATTTTGTGTGTTGAAAACCTCATACTTTTCAACCCTCGGGAATTAAAATGAGAATATTTTATTCATAGACCTACTTTAAAAAATAATGTTAAAAAAAAGAAAAAAAAAAAAAAAAAAAAAAGGAAGGGACCCTTTTCTATGACTTCAGACATATTGGGCATTGACTATTAGACCTACATTTTACAGACCAATTTGCTTGATGGCTGATGTGATCAACATCATACTGGCCACCTTTACTTCCAAAGACTGCCTGGTATTCATTTATGGCTGGGTAGACCTGTAAGACAAGTCATTAAAAAAAAAATTATGGCTCCCTTAGTAACTGAACCCACGACCTTCGGATCCGTAGGCAAGCATCTAGCTGCTGCCCACGCGGTTCCCAGAGATCTACTACCATTCAAAAATATTCCTTCATCTGTAAAGTCTGTCATCCAGTCAATTTCCTTTATATGATTTATCCTCTGTGTTATCTATTATCCAGTCAGATACCTTTACATAATCTGCCATCAATTATATCTTTTTTCTGTACTGTCTGTAAGTGGCAGGGTACAAATGGCTGTTGATTATTTTAGCTTGGCTGCGCTTGCGAATAAATCTGGCAAACTCGGGGATCAAGAGGTTATAACAGGGGGTGTCCAGCATGAGAAGGGACCTTTCTGGCTTTCGATTAGGACCACGCCGGTCACCTAGAGGCAGGAGATCCCACCTATCGGCGGCGGCACCGCATACGGGCTTAGCAGCATGGGTTCGGGCAAATGTGTGGAGTTAAACGGATTGTCTGACTGATTACAGTAGTGGTATGGTTCAATAGATGGATCTGAATTTTCTCCAGCAGCTAAACTTGTAGACCTAGATATCAGTGTGTATCATCGTCCAGAGATATTTGGTTTCAGGTCGCTAGATGCAACTTTCATTTTTGTTAGTTGAAGTGCTTAGCACATGGTGTGTGTAGACATGATGTTGGTTTTTAATGAAATTTTATCTTTGAAGCACTTAGTTTTGTGTTCAGGAAAATAAACAGATGTTGAATGTGATGGTTATATTAATTTGCTTAATTCAAGATAGAACTTGTAATTCGTGCACGTGGTCTCTCTAGGCTAATGTGGGAAAGTGTGTTAATGTGTTGTGTTTGTTTGTGTAACTCAGCTATACATATATTCATTGGCAGGGTATGAGCAAAATTTTTTGGCCCTTGCACAGAAGAACCATTGTCTTTACTTTTTTTGTTTTTGCTGTTCAACGGGGAACTACTTATTGTCCTCATCACAGTTTTCATTTTTTTCCTTATCTCCCTTCTTGTTTTGCTTCATCCGTCTTCCCGTTAGTACATGTATATCAAATCTGGCATCTTTGCATGTACCATCCTCCAGTCATATATCTCAATCTATCTTTTTATCTAGTCATTTTGTTTATAATTATCCGTCAGTCACATTATCATCTATAATACACATCTAAATCTGTAATATCATCCAGTATGATATAATCTCATCCAGTATGATACAATTTTTAATATCATACAATATAATACAATTTACAATTTTCAGCCACAAGTTACATTTTTTAAAAATCGTAAATCCACATCTTTTTATCTCACCTTCCGACCATTCAAATGTTTCCATCTATCATCCTGTCATACATTTACATCTGTGACATCAGCATCATATTTCCATACAAACCAATCACATTTACATCTGTTATATGATATCAACAATGTTATATTTAGTCATCAAACCGCGAAAACCTGAATTTGATTGGTTTTTCTGGCTGGATAAAAGTTGTGTAGATGAAATTAGTATTCCAGGAATCAGAATCAATATCAATCTTCAGTTTCTGAAGAACCTGTTGATAAAAGCAAATGTTACTTGTAGTATAATAATAGTGATTACACAAGGGTGTTGAAGAAAAGAATATAGTCAACGTTATGTTATCACAATCTACATCACTGAACATTAGGCATTTCCATGTATGTGCAATCCTCCAATGCAGCAGCCACCCCAAAGTGCCACTACTGATTGTTCGCATTTAAAGTGCTCGAGCAACAGTCAGATTTGTGTAGGGTTCTTATCACATTAGTGAGTGCAGGGACTGGCCAGCAGGCACTGCGGAATCACAAGTTCAGCAAATGACTCACGACAATTCCTGCCCAACTAATGTGATTATCTTTACATATGGCTCTGTGTTGAGAGGTAGGAGAAATGCATGGGGGTTCGTAGCAAAAGCGAATGAACGTCGTGTAGTGCAGCAGAGCCTTGCATATGATATGACCAAATCTTGTTTGAGAATAGAGGTAGAGGCAGTCACTGCAGCGTAACGCTAACTTGAAAACAAGCTGCATATACATGTCTTGATTGTAATTGACTTGGAGAGCATGTTAAGAAAGGTGGAGACAGGTATGCCCCACGCGGAGGGGCAAGCATAGTCCTGCATAGTTAGTGTTCTTTAGAGTTTTTCTCCAGTTATGCTGGTGTGTTGTAAATGAGCTGACAGATAGATCAGCAGATTCTGCATCACTTGGTGCATTACAAGCTAGATGTGTTAAGGGCCCTTTGGGAGTGAGTAAACAGTGCAGAGGTATACATAGATCATCATGGTCTGAAGAGACTGGTACAGTGAGGAGTAACCAGGAGTATCTCGCTGATGCTGAACACTCAGGGGAAAGCCGAGATGGACTGATACAATCAGACTCCTACTGGTACTATCATAATTAAAACTCTGCACATGCTGCTGAAGCTGGGGATAGAGCGCTTATGGGAATGTCTCAAGTGTTATGATGTCGGTTCTTAATACATAACTCATAAAAGGTTGGTTACACTCCGAGGTCATGTAATCATGTTAGTGTCAGAGATGTGTCATTATCCACCAGTCTGGTCTGTACAGAATTGAGGATGTAGATGCTCACACGTGTGAGATTAGATGCCTGAAGAAAGCCACTAACTCAACTATCCGAGACAGAGAAGAACTGATACCATGAGACAAATTGTGGGAACACTATATTGCACCGAATTCATTGTGAAGTAGAAGATCAAATGGTTTGGTTTCACTAGAATGCAGTCACAACAGATACCAACATAAGATACACCACATCTATAGAGGTCTGAGATGAAAACAAGAGGCGTCCGAGGAGAAGATGGATTATTGACATTAAAGACATTTAAATCAACATGGAATGAGAATATCCAGAGCTACCCATGGAGCAGTGGATTAGAAACTGCTCCACCCCAATGACACAGTCAACGACTCTTAGTGGAAGCGGAGGATGAAGATGATGTAATATGCTCAAGGGAGTAGATACTACACTGTCACTAACGTTTTCATTGAACCTCATACCCTATATGGGTTCAAGGGGCTCAGTTTTGGAGAACAAAGAATAAACCCACAGTCCCACTACAAAGCCTGTCACATGAAGTGATTAATTAGGTGTTCTCTTAAAAGTAGCAATAAATATGTCTGAAAGGCAAGGAACCAACAGTCTGCATATAAACAAACCAGATATGTAAAACATGTTATGTTATGCTATCACAATCGGCATCACTGCGTATAGGGCATTTCTATGCATGCTCAGTCCTCCGATGCAACAGCCACACCAAAGTACTTCTACTAATGTTCTCATAGGGAGCTGATTATAATGTCTCCTATTTTGGCCCCAAAGGCTGCATAGACGTGCTTCACCATACTTTATCCCATGTCATGCCACCATGTAAGTGACACAGATTCATGATATATCCACTAGCCCTTTCCGTACAGCGTTGATGATATCTGCTCTGTACATACTTCTTTCCACATGAGTTGGTGCATTGTTTGCCAGTTCCTCTTTTTTCAGCCGTACAGCGTTGATGATATCTGCTCTGTACATACTTCTTTCCACATGAGTTGGTGCATTGTTTGCCAGTTCCTCTTTTTTCAGCTTAGGATGTCAAGGAAGATACAAGTTCTGCTTCTGGCTCTTCTGGCCACTCGACCACAGACACATCGTGTTGTTGTAGTTACTCTGATGTTCTCTTTCCATCTTGTACTTGATCTACCTTGTGTTATACTTCCTTTTTCTATTTTATGTATAACCTTTAATGGTATGACATCACAAGGCATTCTTTATAAGTGGACAAACCATTTGATTTGCTGTCTCTACATGTACAAAATGTCGTGAGGCAAACAGAGAAGAGACTTGAGTCGCCACTGAAGAACTAATAGTCGGCACGATACCGATGAATGATTTATAGAACATCAAATGGTTTGGTCATCTGGTAAGAACAGAACAAAATCAACCAACAGCTAAAGCGTACTACATGAGAACAGTAGGCTACAGGTCAAAAGGCCAGCCAAGAAAGAGATGGGTGGTGGAAGTAAAAGAGACACGACAGAAATACATACAATATGACATTAACACAAAGTAAGCAACTAGCAACAACAACAAACAAAAAAACAGACTACCTATAATTTCTCTGTGATGTTTTGTGGAAAAAAAAAAACACACAAACAAAGAAGAAGTATATAATTTAGAACTGGTTCTATGTTGACTTTTTCTCTTATGACCTAATTTTATCTCTTCTACAGCCCTTCTCTGATATCTTATTTCGATGGTTAATCAAAAAAGGTTTACTAATTAAAAGTGTTAGAAGTCAAAAGATTTGAAAAACAAAATGTCCCTGCCAGTCAGCAAAGTCCTTGATGACAACCATATGCCGAGTACATCCGAAGACACGGCGATGTATCCTCATCATCATCTTCCTGTGTGGGTTCTGATGACCCACTGAGGGGGGAGCGGGGGAAGAATAGACCTACTGCCAACTAACAAGCATGTCTTAAAAGTTGATTAGTTTTGAATATTTCCTACAAAGTCGGAGTTCGTCTGTCTGAGAGGGGAGGAACCAACTGTCTGAATATAAATAAGCCAGATCTGTAAAATGGATGCGCATGCAAAACTAAGGTTCTGAAACAAGATAAAAGACCAGAACTGGATGAACAACCAGAACTTTCTGCCGGAGTTTACAGCCAGTAAATTTGAAGCAATACAAGAAGAACATTTAGCATTTGAATGCAAAAGACATTCATAACAAACAGTTGTTAGTGTCTATGGCTTTGGCATTGAGAATGTTCTTTATAATTCTGAAATACCCAGTTTGATTCCAGCTGCAGACAATGTGGCAGCAGACTGCTTTTCATTTACTTCAATAGTGGTATGTAGAGCTCACCACTCAGAAACAATGGCAAACTACTGCATGTAAAATTGCCTAGTAAAACCACAAACAGCCCCCCCCCCTTTCCCCCACCCCAATGTTGAACAACATACCTTAACTGCAGCCAAATAAATCTCCTGTTCAGCGAAACGTCGGCCTATGCAGTTTCTTGGCCCGTATCCAAATGGAAGTGACGCTGTTGGAGGGATGTCCTCTGGGTGATGGCCCTCTGACGATCTGATCCATCTTTCTGGGATGAATTTATCTGGGTTCAAAAAGTACTTCTGACAGGTCCTAGGAGTGTGTAACGAAACAACAGTCTGCAAATGTTTAAAAAAAAAAAAAACATATTGTGAGATTAGAACACACAATTTTATATATATATTTATACACACACACACACACAAAACACATCCTTTAATTCTGCCCTTTGTTGAATATTTTGTTCAAAGAAGCAACAAACTCTATTTTCAAAGAGTCACAAAATGGGCACAAAGGCACATCTTTCATTTGGCACTGTAAAGCGCTAATTTTATTTATAATCAGTTAATTAATGAACAGATTATCTTTTTTTGCTTATCGAATAGGTCCATAAGTACTCAGATCCCATTTTCAGTATATCCTTCAGCGTGTGGTAACTGTGTTGGTTTACTATTCTTCTTTGGCTACCTGTATAGTGTTCATGTTTGGCGACATCTCTTGTGACATGAAGTTCTTGTAGTCTTTTGAATGTTGCAGACTCACCGTTGTCTCCTGAATCATCTACTCGTCGCTCGTCGTACCTCTTTGACAGCAGTGAGAATATCGGCCTGGTCCATTGCTTTTCTTGTACATAACGAGCGCCTGCCAGCAAGCCAGTCCGCTCTTTCATTTCCTCAACCAAGAATGCGCATCTCATCTTCGTTCTGTTTCTGGGGGGGGGGGGGTTGGGGGGGGGGGAGAAATCCCCTGTTGGCTACCCCTACGTGCCCTGGCATAGAAATTAAATTTATTCATGATAGATGAGATTTCTTTAGTGACTCCAACCAATTTCTCCAAAATCCATCCTGCCTCGATCTTTATAGGCATGTTTATGGAATACCCTAGACAGCTTGCATGTGGAAAATTCTGTGTCTCCAGCCACACCATTGTATTTGTTACTACTATCACCTCCACAGTCAGACTCTTCACATTTTTCTAACAAAAATAATCCTGCCTGTCCCATCTATATCATGCGCAGTCGCAAACAGCACCAAAACCATTACATAAGTAAAGCATCTCTGGGCAAAAGGGTTCATTAGTCAGCTTTGATCTTATGCTTGTAAAAAGTTACTGGGTCCACACTGTTTCCCCATAATGAAGGTCCAGAACCCATACTGGCAATACCTCGACATGTGTTTGTCTTAATTTCAGGGCAAAAGTTGTTTTAGAATATTTCTTTCAGTGAATTTACTATGCAAAATGTCTACCAATAAGAAAAATCCAAGGACAGGGAAACAAGTGTTGTCATGTATCGCCAAAAGTGAGTATGAGGAAGCCAACTGCTATCTCAGAAGGTATGATGTTTTAGTTCTTGGTTTTAGTGCTGCAAGGGAGTCGCTGTGGCAGAGCGGCTAGACTCGTGCCGCGGATGCGAAGATCGTGGGTTCGCTCCTGGCGGAGCCGAACTTTTCTTAAAAAATGACCTTGGCTCCCAGGTCGACCCAGCCTTGAGTGGGTACCGGGTGCAATCCCGGGAAGTAGAGGCGGCCGGTGTGATGCTGACCACATCACCCATCTTGTGCCGTTGGTCTATAAAAATATAGGTCTAGCCCTATATGCCTTATACGCCTAAAGGCGTGGGAAAGGGTCCTTTACTTTTACTTTTTTGTTGTTGTTGCTGCAAGCAGTTTACCACAACATAGGTCTAGTCTGTCCTTTTCTGTATGTGACTTAAATGTTCTTGATCTTCCCCCGTGTGGGTTCTGGGTTGTCATTTTGAGAAAGAATAGCATGTTGTAAGAAGCAACTTATTAGGGGTTATTTCCTTCTAAGTCAGAGGGCATCTACCTGGGAGGCGAGGACCAACAGTCTGAATGCAGATAAGCTAGATATGTAAAGTGGATGTGCTTGCAAAACAGAAGTCTTGGAACTAGACTGAAATTTAGAAGTGGAATAAAAACCAAAACTATTCACCGCTGCCACTGGAGAAGCAATCAGACACACAGAGATAACTCACTTATTTGAGTTTTTCTCTCTATCAACTGATCTTGTTTAACATAAGATCACAAGGTTATAATTGGGCTCTATGATTTGATTTCTTCCTCAGTAGTTGTGCACGAGTTTCCATGATCTTCTGTCAGCTCTACTGCCTGTTGTTAGGTATCTCAGAGTTGGGATCTTGATGACTGGTACACACTGAAGGGTCAATATGACAGATAGGCAGATTTACTGTTTTTACTTACTTTTACTTTTTCCTTCCACGTATGCCGCTAAGCGTTGTGGGGAGATGCAAGTTCCTGTCATAAGCAAGGCGGGCAGCATCTGATGTTCTGAGGCCATGCTTTTGGCAGGTTTCGGAGACCCCGTCAATCCACAAGTTTCCTTGGTCTTCCTCTTGCCTTATATCCTGAGCTTCTTTGGTTGAAAATTTGTGATGTTATTTGATCATTTTTCATCCTGGTTAGATGTCCAAACCATTTCATTCTTTGATGTTCTATGTAGTCTAAACATGGTGTAGTTTTGACAGTGTTTCTAATGTCTATATTCTTTATCCTGTCTAGTCTGGTCTTATTCGCTGCTTTTCTTAGACATTTCATTTCACAGACTTCTATTTTTCTTTCATGGGTCTTGTTGATTGTCCATGTCTGGCACTGGTAGCAGAGTGTTGGAATGAAGATGGTGTTTATCAATTGTCTTTTGGTCTTCATGGTTATATCTGGATGTTTAAGCAGAGGTGATAGTTGGTATGTGACAGCATTTGCTTTCTGTATTCTTGTTTCTATCTCTCTGTCCATTCTTCCATCCTCTGTAAATATACTGCCCAAGTATTTGAACTCTTTGGTTTGCTTGATTTTGGCACTTCCAACATTTATATTCAGTGGCCTGTGTGTTCTGCTGATCTTCATAACTTCTGTTTTTTCTGTACTGATTCTCATATTATGTTGTAAACAGCTGTTGTTGAGAGTAGTCAGATGTTCCTGTAGATCATATTCATTTTGATACAGTATGCTTTGATCATCAGCAAAAAGTAATTCGTTTATAGCATACACGTCTGGGTTTGCTTCTACAGTGATCTTATCCATGTATGTTATGAAAAGTAATGGTGACAGTACACATCCTTGCCTGACACCAGTTGTGACTTTGAACCATTCAGAAAGACCACTAGATGTTCTTACTGCACTTTCACTTTTTTCATAGAGGGCTCTGATGTTGTCTAATAATTGACCCTGCACTCCGTAATCGTCAAGAATTCTCCACAGCACATCTCTGTCTACACGGTCGAATGCCTTCTCTTGATCTACAAAGACCACGTTCAGCTCTTTATCGTATTCGAGTGTCTTTTCACAGACTTGTCTTAGTGCAAATATGGCATCAGTGCAACCTCGCCCTTTCCTGAAACCGAATTGTGCTTTACTCAGTAGAGGTTCAACCTTTGCTCTTATCCTACCTTCTAAGATCTTTGCATACATTTTCCCCACATGACTTAGTAAAGATATTCCTCTATAAGTTCCACATTCTCTCTTGTTTCCTTTTTCTTCCAGATAGGTACTACAACTGATCTTTGCCAATCCACTGGTACCTTTCTCTCTGCCCCATGCTCTATTGAAAATTCTCTCCAGCCAGGTGATCATAGTGTCCCCTCCAGCCTGGATGACTTCTGTTGTTATTCCGTCGATACCAGCTGCTTTGTGTCTTTTACTTGTTTTGATAACTTTCTCTACTTCATCCCGCAGGATATGTGGTTCTAGATGATCTGGAGCCCTTGAATGGAATTCTGCTGTTTCATGTACTCCCGACGGGTTCAAAAGTTCTTTAAAATATTCCTTCCATCTTTTTTTAATTTCTTTTGGCTGAATAATGGTTTTCCATTTTTATCGTTTATGACTGATGTTGGATTGAAGCTTTCTTCTCTTAATCGCATCGCAGTTCACACTCTTATAAAAGTCTCTTGGTGATTCTGTACATAGCTGTGTTAGGTGTTCACCATACTTTTTCCATGATTCCTCTTTGGATTTCTTTATTGTTCTCTTGGTGTCTCTTCGAGTTAGTCTGTACCTAATGTAATCCTTTTCGTCTTTTGTTTTTAAACCATATTTGAAACTTGCCCGTCTTTCTGGTACCACACTTGTCTTTTAATATCTTCGTGATGGTTGATTTATAATAATCCCATTCTTCTTCAATTCTTACTGGTTCCTTGGCAATATCTGCAAAAAGCCTTTGTTATTTTCTAGTTCAAATTCATGTTTGATATTCTCTTCCTCTAATTTTCTTAGTGTTGATGATTTCTTCACGTTTCTGTTTATGTAGACTGTTTCTACTTGAGTTGCATATGTTCATAACTACTGGGCGATGGTCTGAATCCAGTCCCGCATTTGGGGACAGCTTTTGAGATCTCTTACCGTCCTCTTCTGCCGTTGTCTGACTAGTATAAAAAATCAATTTGTGACGCTTGATCTAAGTTGTTCCACTTGTACCACGTTTTTTTAACCTGACTTTTGGCGATGTTGGTAGAATGTGTTGGTAATGTAGAGATCTTGTTCAGCACACAAGTTTAACAGGTGTTCTCCATTTCTATTGCAATCTGTGGTTGTGTCGCTGAATGGGCCAAGGTATCTCTCCCATGGTGATCTTCTTTTACCTACCCTACCATTAAAATCTCCCATTACTATGATGTCCTCTTTCTCTTTAACATTATTGATGGTGTCCGTAAGTCTCTCGTAAAAGTCTTCTTTTTCTTCTTCAGAATAACTATCGTTGCAAGGTGCATATATCTGAATGATCGTTGTAGTTTTACTTCCTTCTGTCAACTTGATTAAAATAATTCTTTCTGATATAAATTCTGTTCCTGTTATTAATTTTGCTGTCTCGGGATGAAGTATAAATCCGACACCATGTTTTGCCCTATCTTTAGTGGGTACTCCGCTCCATAATAAAACATAATTTTCATGTATTTCTTTTGTAAGTCGTTTTTCTGTCTCGTCGTCCTTTAACGTTTCCAGTCCATTTTCCGTTTGGGGCTGTCCGTTTATTTATCTCCTTTCTAATTTTCGTAGCAATAAAAAATCCACTGCCGGCTTGCTAGGCCAGTCGCAGTTTAAGGGAAAATCTGACCAGATGGACCCCATCCCATCTGGCGAGCCAGAGCCTCGTTCGCCTGTGGCCTCATGGCCACAGTTTCCCGGTCTGCACCACTGGGAGGAGAGGTTGACTTATGTGTACTGTGGGTCATCGGCAGGCTACTAATTTTCACTTTTCACCTCTCCTAAGAGAAGCTAGCCGACCCCAACCCTGCTGGATGCAGAGCCAGGCACAGTCCACTGTTTTTAGTTGTGTCAAGATTTTGCTTTTGGCAATCGTTAACTATTGCATTTTTCTACATGTGTATACTGAAAAGGTATAGTTATGTCGCCCAGCGACTCATTTGAGTGCATGGTGCAACACTGTGAGCTATGGAGTTCATTTGAAATGCTTTTAATTGTGCCCAACATAATTTGTATTGTAAACTGCAGATTCAGAAAATGGCGAGTGGCCTGTTGCCAGAGAACTGTTGGTGCCGTATGCGATTAATTATGTATGCAACTACTGATTTGTTGTGACTGTGGCTTCCATCATTGATGATCTGCATGTCTACTGCCCAACTGTTTGTGTTGGCACTTCTGACAGATAACTTATGCATTAATGCATGTGTATGCTATTGGATTTGTTAAGACTGCAGTCTGTGTCAAATTTTGTTTCCACAAGGGTCAGTGATGGCCATTTTGTGTGGCTTTCTTTGGCACATGAACTGAACAACTAGGGAGTGGGCCATCTGCTACGAAGTTAAAACTGACATAACCATTACCGTCACCATTACCCCTTAAGGGGTTGATTAAAAAAAAAGTACTCACCCCAGCAGGAACTCTGTATCCACTCAAGACAACATCTGTGGGCATTTTTCTCGGTGGGCCACTCACTGTCGGGCTGAACAACCTGAAATGAAATCACGATCTTGATGAAATTGAATGATGACATATACCTTTTCTGCTTGTCATGCACAAGAAAAATAATAACATACTAAAGATATGAAAACATTGGCTGACTGTTCACATGAGGCCATCATGAACCAGCCCTAGCACTTACTCGTTGTTGTGTAATTTTTACAGTAGAAGAATTATCCTGGTGAATATGGAGTGGAGGTGCTGACCAAAATGTTTAATGACATTTATGACAGATGATACCTACCTAAAGATAAGCCCAAGTCTGTATTTACAGCTTTACCCAAGATGTGAATGCTATTTCAGTGCCCTGACCTCTGTTTCTATGGCTGCAGGAGTCTGATCCCTGCAGTAACTTCATAGTGTGATGATAACCTTAGAGATGTCATGCATGTCTACTGGTGTTTTCATCCATTCTTTTCCGTGACTGATCTTGTCTAGGTCACATACCTGCTGGCTTAAATCTTCAGCATTGCCACCCAGGAGCAGCCTCTTTTTGAAGCGCATTTCTTTTATACGTGTATAGCTTTGTTCAGTGGATGATTAATGTCTCATGTATGCCTTGACCTGTACAAACTTTGTGGTTATTAGCCATCGTAGGTAAACCCAGGACATATCTTATGGTGTGGCAGGAGGTGTCTTTTGTGCAGCCGAGTATGAGCTTCATGGTCTTATTTTGTGCTTGGTCCCGTCTTTCTAGCTGGGCTCTGCTGGTATTGAGGAAGCCCAGACTATAGTCAACGTCGCTTAACCCACGCTCTTGATATAACATGAAAAGTAAGCGTTGTTCAACGTCGGTTGCTGCTAGCAACTTGAGTGCTGTCATACCTTTCCTGGCTCCAAGTGTGTCGGTGTTTACGTGACACTTGTATGAGATGCCCAGAAATTTCACTGTGTCCGTTCTCTCTATGTCCACACTACGTATGCTTATAACTGGTGCTGGTGTACTGACATTGTGGGTATTCAGAAAAAACCATGTTAAGGAGACCTTTGATGGGTTCACTTGTGCTCTGGAAAACTATATATCCTAATAATAATCCAGGTGGGTTGAACAGTTTTTTTTTAAATTACTGCTGCTAAGACATTTTCCATAAACAGTAGACAAACAGTAAATATTTTCAGATACTATGTTCACTCCTAGTCTGTGATGAGGAAAGCAAACCAAGTAATGAGAAAGTCAAACAGAGGCACTGGGGGTGTGGATATACAAAATATAGACTACATTACATAAACCAAGGAAAAAAAATCAAATTTCATGGTTCTGGAGAGGAGCAAAATTAAAAGATTTTAAAGTAGCAACACAAAACTGTCTTTAAAACCTTTATTGACCAGATTTAATGCAATCTAGGAGAAAAAAGGTCGTGAGCCAGATGATTTAGGGTAAAATGGCTCGGGCAGTCAACAACACCTGCAGGTTAGGTTTGTTAATTTGCACAGGACAGAAAAATCTCCATTCCTTATTGAGGTTCGTCCCAGGTCTATCACATGACAGCCCGGTGGGCTAACCATTTGGCCAGCCACTCCTTAACATAGTAAAAAAAATGACCGTTTGTGAGACAAGTGGCCCATCAGCATATAAGTCAAGCCATTATACTCATCAACACAAGTTGGGTGTTGTCTCCACACGTCCAGCCATTAGACCCATCAACACAAGTTGGGTGTTGTCTCCACACATCCAGCCATTAGACCCATCAACACAAGTTGGGTGTTGTCTCCACACGTCCAGCCATTAGACCCATCAACACAAGTTGGGTGTTGTCTCCACACGTCCAGCCATTAGACCCATCAACACAAGTTGGGTGTTGTCTCCACACATCCAGCCATTAGACTCATCAACACAAGTTGGGTGTTGTCTCCACACATCCAGCCATTAGACCCATCAACACAAGTTGGGTGTTGTCTCCACACGTCCAGCCATTAGACTCATCAACACTAGTTGGGTGTTGTCTCCACACATCCAGCCATTAGACTCATCAACACAAGTTGGGTGTTGTCTCCACACATCCAGCCATTAGACCCATCAACACTAGTTGGGTGTTGTCTCCACACATCCAGCCATTAGACTCATCAACACTAGTTGGGTGTTGTCTCCACACATCCTATCAGCCACCTTTACTTTCCGGGACAATTTTCGGTGCGTACTTTTAGATTTTCTCAACCTGGCAGCCAAAGGTCAGTTGTTTCTCCAATTCTGCTAAATGTGGATCTGAATCCATGTTTGATAATGGACGTGGAGGCTCCATCAAGACAGGAACTCACGACCTTCCGATCCCCAGGCGTGCATCTAGCCGCTACACAATGCCGGTTTCCCTGAAAAAGTATTTATAAAGAAAATAGCTATATTAAGCAGAACATTCACCTGAATGATTCCTTCAGGCAAGCTTTCAAATAAGGAAGTTTGGCCAAGGACTCAGCTGTCACCGGCCCGTCATGACCAAGCAAGCTTGTGATCTCCTTCCGCAGTGTCTCTTGTTTATCTGGATTTTTAGCCAGGTTAAAAAATAGTATCTGTAGGTTTTTTGCTGTCTGACAAAAAGAAACGTTTCACATAAATAATTAAAAATTGGTTAAAGACGAGAAGGGTGACCTAACTGCTTATTTTTCTTCTGTCTATCCTTAATCCCACAATGGTGCATAGGCCCTCAACCAACTCATGCCAGCTCATTCACTCGTTTGCTATCACATGCAGCATCCCCATGTCCCGCACATCTGTTTCACTTGACTCTCTAGTTCTCTTACCCATATTCTGCCTTTTTTCTGTGCCCATGTGGGTTCAAGTGTTAAAACATTTTGGTTATATATATCTCTTGATTCTATGGAATTTGATTAGTTCTCTACCAAAGTTATCACATAATTGATTCTGTCACGCCATTTCATCCCCTTATTCTGTGCAGAACGAATGCCTGAGGAAAATGATGAATACAAAATTGGATGGATTCAAGAGGAGTAAAAAAATAGGAGAAATGTCTGGGCAGCCAATAGTATCGATGGTTATAAGACAGAGAAGATGGCGCTATATTGGAAGCATTCTGAGAAGACAGAAAATCCTTTAGAGATCAACAGGGAGCAGCCAGCAGGTCTGGGACTTCGATGGCCACTCAGAAGGGCACAATCTCCTTCAGCAGGTTAGACACCTTTAATGTTGTTGCATCAGAACACCTAGCAAGCCAGCATAGTAAAAATTCATCAGGAATGGTTCCCCCATCTGGTTTGATCCCTTCCACTCCTATAAGTGCTGGTCCTGACCACTCATATGAGTGATGCCAATGATAGCAGATATTTACGCTTGTCCACAGATGATATTCTCGCTTTTAGGCCGGGAACAGATAGGGAACAATCAGCACAACAGCTACAGGTGACAGCAGACAAAGTGATTGACTAATGTACAGAAATAAGCGCGGTCGTCCACCCAGAAAAGGTGTCTGTTTTGTATTATTTTCTAGACAACGGGATTGTTAGAACTGATGTCCCAGGTCTCATGATAGATGGTGGAACATCAACAGAGAAAGCAAACTGGAGTATCAGTTAATCCCATTTGACAGGATCCTGTTCTTCAGGGACCATGTGGAGATAGTTGTGGCAAAGTGCCAAAAGGGACTCCATGCACTTAAGAATATGGCTTCAATGGACATGGAGCAGAGAAGGCTTTCCACTCTATTTCAGCACTAGATTCTTTCAGTGATTGATTATAGACTAGGACTGCTCCTTATCTCAACGAGTCAGCTGGTTAAACTAGAGGGATGCAGAATGCAGCTATGCGGGTTATTTTGGGATTTACGAGAGACACCCCAGTAGTCTTCACCACACTATGGAAATATATATGGTGAAACTTATAAACTCGGAAACTTACCATAACTTGAGTTTATTAGGAAAGTGAATAAACTTTAAATCGTTATTCTCAAATCTGGATATTCACTGGTTTTGTGGCTGCAAAACCATGGTAAGTGAAGGACTATTTTGTAAAATGGTAACTGGAGGACTATTTTGTAAAATTGTGTCTTTGCAAACATAATATACCTGCTGAATTTGTTTTTTTTTTTTTTTTCGACTTACTATAAAGCCTTTAATATTGACATTATTTTAATTTCCCTTTAGAGAAAAAATGTATACATTCTCTATTGCCTTTTACACCGCCCCTCTGCAATTTTTGTAAAGGGAAATAAATGCGAGCCTAAGTCTGTCAAGATTCATGGGCATGAAAGAGTTAAAGTAGATAATACCACAGATGTAGACATGACAATGTGGATTTTTGTTTTTTACAGAAACAAGTATCTGTACCTAGAGAAAGAGAGTTAACATTAAACCTAAGGGAGAATGGGTTAATATAACAGGTGACTCAACCTACAGAGAGAAAACAACTAGGGCAAAAAGACAGTTAACATTATAGCTTGGGCAGAATGGATTAAAGCAACAATGGTTAGGACTCGGAGAGAGAGGGGGAGTTAACATTATAACCAGGACAGAATGGGTTAACGCAACAAAGGTATGGTCCTAGATAGGCAGTTAACATAATAACTAGGATATAATGGGTTGAAAAAACAAAGATCTAGACCTAGAGAGCCAGTTAACAATATAACTAGGGTAGAATGGGTTAATATAACAAAGGTCTGGAAAGAGGGTTAACATTATAACTATGGCAGTGTGAGTTAATGTAACAAATGGCTGGCACATAATGGGTTAAGAAAAGATTACATGAAAAGTATAATAGTTGGTGAGTTTTGTGTGGAGCTGATGGTTGAGCATTCGCTCTCCTGTACGTGATCCAGTTTTGAATCACTGGTAAAATCATGAACATGTTTTTATGTTTAAAGAAAAATAACATTGTTACCATGAACAGTTAAAAATTACTGCCCGATCCATGCAGTCTTAAATAAAAAGGCTCAAAAAATCCTCATTTTCTCAAAAGTGGATAGTGCTGGAAATAGAGACAGTTTATGGTAATTTGGTTGCTAGTGCAACCTAAAACAGACCAGGTCCTGTGGCAACTAACACCACTTTTGACACATGGAGGTATACCTTTGTCAACGGAAGCAAAAATAATATCATCTACATTTTTTGTAACACTCTTTTCTGGGATTGCGAGAAATCACGTGGGAAAAACTATCCGGTATATGAGGCAGTGCGAGAGAATGAAAGATAGGATTTTCTGGTTTCAAAAGTGATAGTTACGGAAACACTCATACTGGACAAGGGAGATATTGTGAAAACTATTTAAGAAAGAATGTTGATAGAAGACAAGAGATTAGATAAAGTAACATGTCTTAGAATGTGTGAACAAAGAATTAGGAGTGGATCCGACACGGTGGTACGTATGAGAGGACGAGAACGACGTGTGTATAATCAGTGTTCTACGGAAACAGTCAGCATCTACACCTTACGTCATTTGCTGCGGGAGACAGCGCATCCATTGGTATGCCCGATGTGCTGTGATGTCAGTTCTTAAATCAGTAAATCGGTTTACCTCTGTATGTTACGAGTGTCAAACATGGACCCTAACTAAAACCAATGAGCACAAAATGATAGCAGAAATGAACTGTCTCAAAAGAGATCCCGATAAACAAGAAAAGATCAAATGAAGAAATTAGAAGAAGACGAGGGCTGAAACCAGTCATATAGTTTAGTTATTAAAGAGCAACATGCGAGAGGTGTTGAGTTGAGTTGAGTCAAGACCTGACGACACAGCACTTGGATCATTCCCATGTGCGCTCCGCCCTTATCTTCAGCAGCCACTGCAGAGTTCCATTACTAATGGTACCGGTTGTAATCTAGTTATATGTCCGTTTTGCCGTTAGAGTGTAGAGAACTGACCAGACCCTCTGGTTATACACAGGTGCATCATTGTCTCCAGGTAATAATAATCCTGTTTCTCTTCTGACTTCGTTACTTGTTCCCAAAGGGCTTTGACCACATCTGCTTTGTCATGTATCAGTTCACCACCCAGTGGTGCAGATCCAGCCAATATGTCTGCCTGTTCATTCCCCACCATGGCGGTATGGCCTGGAAAAAAAGACCCAAAGTATGCTCACTACCTGTGACCTTTCCAGTAAAGCTTGCCACTCTGCTCGAAGCATCCCTGTCTTCATCTTTCCCAGCATGCTTTAAGAGTGACAGGTGAGAGGTGGTAAAAGGACAAATAGGGGATTGCTAGGACTGAGTAAAGCAAGGTGTGACATTGTTGAGAGTGCAACGGTAGCCTTGAAGCCATCCTGGGTCACCCCAAAACATCCTGGCCAATAGGCCTCTAGTGAAGTTATAACAGACCTAGCAAGTCAGCAGTGGATTTATTATTGCTACTGAAAATACAATGAGATATTAAAAGATTTGACTATTTCCAGAGAATACCTCGTGACACCATAACATACGAGGCACATACCAAAACAGGAGATGGACAAAGAGTCTGAGGTAGACTAAGAACAATATAAAAAAGATAACAGAGAAACTCAAGAACAGCACGATGTTCATGGTTTAGGCGGCCAGAAGAGTGAGTAACAGAAAGGTATAAAGAACCGAAGAAGAAGAAAGGAGGGAAGGAAGGAAGGAAGACAAACAGACAGACAGACAGCCAGACAGACAGACAGACAGACAGACAGACAGACAGACAGACAGACAGACAGACAGACAGACAGACAGACAGACAGACAGACAGACAGACAGACAGACAGACAGACAGACAGACAGACAGACAGACAGACAGACAGACAGACAGACAGACAGACAGACAGAAAGAAAGAAAGAAGAAAGAAAGAAAGAAAGAAAGAAAGAAAGAAAGAAAGAAGAGAAAGAAAGAAAGAAAGAAAGAAAAGAAAGAAAAAAAAAGAAAGAAAGAACGAAAGAAAAGAAAGAAAGAAAGAAAGAAAGAAAAGAAAGAAAGAAAAGAAAGAAAGAAAGAAAGAAAGAAAGAAAGAAAGAAAAGAAAAGAAAGAAAGAAAGAAAAGAAGAAAGAAAGAAAGAAAGAAAGAAAGAAAGAAAGAAAGAAAGAAAAGAAAGAAAGAAAGAAAGAAAGAAAAGAAAGAAAAAGAAAAGAAAGAAAGAAAGAAAGAAAGAAAGAAAGAAAGAAAGAAAGAAAGAAAGAAAGAAAGAAAGAAAGAAAGAAAGAAAGAAAGAAAGAAAGAAAGAAAGAAAGAAAGAAAGAAAGAAAGAAAGAAAGAAAGAAAGAAAGAAAGAAAGAAAGAAAGAAAGAGACGGAAGAAGAAGAAGCGACAGTTTATGGTGAGTTGGTTGGTAGTGAATGAGTTGCTTTACTTTACCGAGTCAGTGCCTGCAATGTAAAAACTTTCCATAATTCCAACAATGTCCATGAAATCAAGCGAGCTGTCAGAAAGCAGGTAGAGAAGCAGGTTTGGCTCATCTGGATCTAGGGTGCCATTTTGTTTACGAGTTTCCAGTACAAGTTGTGCATCCTTGATATGCTGCATTGTTTGTCTGAAACGCAAATAATTCATGACAGTTTTATCCAGCACCGTATTTAGTATGTATGATGCCCTGTGTTGTCATTTATTTTACAGCTCCTTTTTTAACAGGTGCATTTGTCTTTACAAAAAAAGTCAGTTAGAAATATTTGAGGCATGAATGAACAGAATTAATAATTTCTGTTATATATCTGGCGAGGGGACATTTCTGTCACAAAAATGAAATATAGCTAAAGCGATTAGGAAAGCTTACAGTCTGTATTTCGGCTGCAGAATATGAGATTGACACCAAACATATGTAGCAATACACATGCAGCACATCTTAAAATGGTTGACTGGCAAAACGCAAGCTATAACTTTTGTGGTAGAACTTGTCGGTCAGCGTAAATCAGAAAGCGAACACAGGAAGAAGAAGTAGAAGGCTTTTAAGTTGACAATGATTTAGACAGAGCCTACTGAACTCAACAACTGTTACTTTTGCACGGTCCCTCCAGTTGGGAAAGGCATACCAAAGAAGAAGAAATGGACTCTTGAGTATCCTAACATCTCCTCTGCAATATACGTCCGGTACCACATGGTTATGACCTACCAGTGCAAAGTGCCAGAATTATTTTCAGCTGTTTCCATTGGTGAAAAAAAAGACATTGGTGACCTTGAACAACCAACCTCAAGAGACCCAGATTTTGTGCAAACTACATCCACCTAACTATACCTAATAATCTAAAGGGAAGCGAATGATCTTGAAAGGGATTTAAATTTAGTGAAGAACAAGGCGGGGGTTTTGGCTCCAGATTGCAAGTGGAATCTCCTGGCAAATGTTAGCATTTCTGTGTATAGGAGCCACCAGAAGCAATTTATAACATTCTATTTTACAGAAAGTGACCTTTATGCGTGCCACAAAATTTCTGGTTGAACGGTAGCCCTCAAAATCAATTACAAATTGGAAGAGTGGAGGCTTTTGCTTTTCACTGATTCATCTAAGATGAGTCTAGAAGCTTTTCTAATGAACAATGGTAATGTGTTACGGTCAATTTTAGTTGGTCAGGTAGTTCATATGAAAGAAACCTATGAAAAATATAAGCAGCTTTTAGAGTTTATAAACTACGATCATCATCACTGCATTCTGCGGTGGCTTAAAAGTGGTTGCTCTTTTTCTTGGAATACAGGGTGGATACAGCAAATTCGGTTGCTTCCTCTGTGAATGAGATTCCCGTAAATAAAGTGACAGTTTTATCAGAAGATATTGGCTAATCACGCAGTCAGTAAAATCTGGATGGCAGCAAGAACTTTTAGTTTTATTTGTAATGGTCATTAGAAATAAATTTGCAATCTCCCACTTTTGCATCAGATATATCTAGTTTGCAAGATGTATGCTACTGGTTGATATAATTACGATCAATATATATATATATATATATATATATATATATATATATATATATATATATATATATATATATATATATATATTGATCGTAGTTGAATCAACTAGTAGCATACATCTTGCAAACTAGAGCCAATCAGAATATTTTCAAATGTCATTTTCATCACACCAAAGTTAGTTAAGATCAGCTATTTTTCATGTCTGGTACAAATAACTTCAGAAAATGTGTTTAGTGTTATTCTGTAGATATCCGTGTTTAGGCTGATGGACATGGGGGTGCAAGATGCAAGAAATCAACATTTCACTATGGGAACAAGCTGTTTGATTGATCAGCACAGGACATGCATCATCAGTCATCTGATGCTTGTGGGGCTTTTCATGTTTAAAAAACAAAACATAAAGGTAAAGTCGCGAGAAGTGAACCAGCGTCATTGCACACGGTTATAAACCATAAGTGCTCTGTCACCAGTACGGACAGCTGATAAAAAAAGTCCCCTTGTGTTGCCATCCGCACAAAACTCCGTAGCTACAGCGACGTCACTCCATTTACCTCAGAGTGTTAACTTTGGTACTCATTACCTAAAGGCTGGGTGAACCCCGGGAACCGCCCGGTTTCGAACACCGGTCGTAGGCTGCAGTGAGTCGCAGCTGGATTTGAAAGCGAATCTCCTATCGAATGCGCTAACGCAGTATACTTTAGAACTTTTCATGAATTGATCAGAGCACCCGTGATCTGTCAGGAGTGTTCTGTGGATTATACTCCCTAACCACCAGTCACTAATCACATTCAAAGAGTTACACATACTTTCCAAGCAGCAGCTTGTTCTTTTCAAAGCCCCTGTAGACTTCATTTCTGAACCACCTGTGAGCTACATCAGTGAATGACTTATGCATGTAGAGAAACACATCTTGTGAAGCTTGCAGTAATCTCGCTGACTCTTGGTTTTCCATGGCTTTTGGTTCTAGAAAGCCCAGGCGAGTGTTGAAGCAAACCACGCTAATACCTGCAGAAGTCAAGCAACACGTCGATAAACTTCTAGAGACTGGGATTTATGGAATTACTGGGGCGTTTGTTTTTGCTGCGGTATGCAGTGGTATGCAGTACTGGCACCTTCTTTTATTTGTCTTTGTTTTACCACTGTAATAGACATTTTCTGGTGAAAACTGGCATCTTTTCTAGACAGTTTATAGTGACAAGCCTCTAAATTATAATTTTATTTCTGACGTTATTTTTTAACACTTGCTGTTGTTAAAAAAAGGTTCCTCTACACACATTAAAAAACATACACACACACACAACACACACAACACATACACAACACACACAACACACACACAACACACACACACAAAATGTATTTTAAAAAACACCAAAAGAGGTAAAGGCTTCTTTACCTACCTGTGGCACATAGGGCTAGACTATATTTACAAACCTTGATGGGTGATGTGCTCAACATCACACCAGCCGCCTTTACTTCCAAGGACTTTACCTGGTACTCATTTAAGGCTGGGTTAACCTAGAAGCCAGGGTCAAACATAAATATATTTAGCTGCACCTGGATTTGGACCTATGACCCTCCAGATGTATTACTTAAATGTTGCTCTTGTATACTCTGAGCTTCGTCTTCCCTTTGACTTCCATATTTGTGAAGCATGGTTAATGCTTGATTTTCTTCGTTTATTCATTGATGATTTGAAATAATATAAAATGTCAACAACAAAAAAACTTTTAAAGATAATTTATATGCATGGTTAAAGAGGACTGGTTAATTTTCTCATAAAGTTATTTATATGGCCTCAGGGGCTGGTCCCCCTCTTAGTGGGACCCTTTGCTTCCAATCCCCCACCCTCTTTCAGAAAACAAGTCGTAAAAGTCTATTATTAGTGTTGTTTCCTTCTAAATCAAAGTGCAACTACCTGAGAGAGAAAGAACTAACAGTCTGCATTCAAATTAGCCAGATCAGTAACATTGCTAGGCTATGCATGCAAAACTCAAATTCCAGAACAAGATGAAAGTCTAGAAGTGAATGAACCACCAAAACTTTCCTCCTGGGTTTACAGCCAACGAACGTGATGAATAAAAAGAAGAAAAAGAAGAAGAGGAAGAAGACTTGCTCCCTAAGAGTCTTTACCATAGTTGATTTGTCATGCGTTAACTCACCACCACTAATACACATCCAGCCAGTCTGTCAGCTTGTTTAGTTTCAGTGTTGCCACTTTCCTTTGACAAAAAACATCCAAAACGGTGTCACAAAATATCTAAAAACATCTAAATGTGTGTGGAAAACATCTAGAAAAAATATCCAAAATGGAAAAAGTCACAAATTACATAGCAATTGATATGACTTACCCTATAGAATCATGTCCTCATCTTTACTGAAGTCTGCCTTACAAGACCCACAGGATAAACTTAGCTTAGATGATGATGGTAAAGCTTCAGATCCAAAATGACTCTCGTATGCTTTAGCTGTTCAAATTTCTTTCAATACCCAATCAGGGAGCTGATAAGTGGAATAGCCTTTTCCTACTCTTATCAGGCAGAATTTTAATGTCAAGATAGCATTTAAGAGGTCAAATTTCTTTCTTTTTGTTAGGTTATACTTGATAAATTCACTCAAAATGAAAAACCTCTAGAAAAACATCTACCATCTAAACGTCAAAAACGGCATCTAAATGCGAGGGGAAAACATCTAAATCTGGATGTAAAACATCCAAAGTGGCAACACTGTTTAGTTTCCAGTATATGATAGGTAAAGGTTTTAAACTGTCAAATGTAAAATTAGGAACAGATTAACTTACTCTCAACAGCATAGCGAAAGAATAGTTCTGCCAAGGCATCTGGGCTCATTTTCTGTGTAGCCAGGATTTGTACAAACTCATCTGCTACAACATTCTGAGGTTTCAGGTAATACCCAGCCGAGTCCACTTTCATTAGCTTTTTGTTCAATGGAGCTCTGAGTGCTTGCCACTCTTTACCTTCCCTGTAGGATTTCATAAGCAGTAGTGTAATTGTTCATTCAAAAATTCCTGTTCAACCCTCAGGGTTATTACTGTGATACAAAGTGTTCATCAAATTCACAAAGTATCATCATCATCAAGTGCCTTGCCGACTGGCCTGGGCGATCATGCATCTCCACAATCGCGATCCGCAACAGTTCATGTGCTGATAGCCTATTATGTCATGACAAATGACTGTCAAGAATCTTCTCACACTGTCTTCCCCTGTCTCTCTTTCCCCAGATCTTTCCAGTGGTAACAACATGTTCCATTTTCCCTTTCCTCATAATATGACTAAAGAATGACGACTGTCTCTTTCTGTTGTTTGTTATAAGTTGTCTTCGAGCATTCGCCTCTTTCAAAACATATTGGTTGCTCTTCTTAGCTGTCCACGGAATTCTGAGATTCTTCTATAAAACCACATCTCTGCGGCCTCAATATATTTTTCAGCTTACTTATTAATTGTCCAGGCGTCGCAGCCGTATGTTAAAACGTGCCCCATGTAGCATGCAAGAACTCTTTTCCTCAACTCCAATTACAGATTTATTGCATAACATGTTCTACATTTTGTAAATTGCAGTTTTGACCTTTCCTATTTTATTATTTATCTGTGTGATGCATCTTCCATCGGATGTTATTCATGTGCCTAGATACTTAAATTTCTGTACTTGTCCTAAAATAACGCCTTTGAATTTTATTATACACCTAGACACTATTCTTTTCTTGGAAATCACCATTATTTCTGTCTTCCCATTTTTCAAACTGAGGCCCATTTTATCACTTTCTACCAACACGGTGTCCATCAATTCCTGTAGTTCTTTTACAGAGTATATAAATTTGTTATTTTAAATACCACTAAACGTATTTTGTCTAATATAAATCACACCCCCTCCCCTCCCCCTTTCCCCCCAATAAAGGATCTAAAAACAGTGTGTTTGACCTACTACAATGGTAGTAGATTTTTACCAAATGATTTGTTAGAAAATATCGTGTACAGGGCCTCATTTAGAAATGCTTGTACAAGGGTAACATAAAATGGAGAACAAAATTATAAAGTTCAAAGTTCTTTCCCGCAGGAATAGTTTGAATTGATCAGGATGGGATGAAGAGCTGGTTTGAGAAAGTTGGAGCAGAAGAACAGGTGGACCTTTTGCAAAGCTTTCCTATTAGGCTTGATCGGATCGGGGCACACATAATAGAAAACACAAAGGACAGTGCTGCAGAGAATAAGAATATTAAGATAATATTTCCAACACTGTATCATTGAAATAGTGGATTTATCATGCCTTTAATGCAATCGTCGATTATTCACAACTATATTATTTTCTAGTAATAAAATGCTTGATCTTGCTAAGAGGTCTCTGAGGCTGTCTTTGTGCAATAAGTTTTCCATTGTCACAGATGTTAAAAATAGGTCAAGAAATTTATGTTGAACCCTTTAGGTACTGGACAATTCTACGCGAGGAACATATGGGGGCATTAACTACAGTCAGAGAAAGGCATGAGTGTATGATCTTCAAAGAGGTACACACCGCCCAGAAGGTTGAGGTAATGGAAATATGGTAGAACTGCGTAGATACTAGCCTGCAGGCAAGGGATAGTGAGCTATCTCAAAGAGTATATCAGTTTTGTTGCAAGCATATATTTGTGTGTTGTGGGTTAAGGATATTGCAAATCAACCTCCACACTTAATGGCTGTCTTTTATTTTACTAGGCAATTTTCTTTTCAGTAGTTATCTATTTGTAATGACACAAGGGTTACTGTAAAGATATTTTTTAAATAATAAATATCTACTTGACATAATTCATGTGGAAAGTATGGGGGTGACTGCAGTCAAGCTAATACAAGCAATTCCAGTGAAATTTGACTAAAAAGCTTAACTAAATAGGAAAGCAGACAAACGTGCACAAAACAACACAAATAACGTTTCGGCCCGCAGCCTTCGTCAAACATGAAGTGAACTACACAACAGTAACAAAGAGAAGAGTATTCAGTTCTCTAAGGGATGACATGGACGTTAAAAAAAACCGTTTTCCCCATTTTTTTTTTTTAAACGTTGCTCACGTCACCCCTTAGAGATCTGAATCCTCTTTGTTACCTTTGTGTAGTTCATGTTAGACAAATGCTGCCAGTCGAAACGTTATTTGTGTTGTTTTGTGCACGTTTTTCTGCTTCCCTATTTGGTTAAGCTTTTTATTGACATTTCACTATAATTTCTTGCGGAAAGCATGGGCTAAGAAAAACAATCACGAGGTTAGCATGGATGTTGTTGGACAGAGGAAGTGAACTATGTTGGAGTTACTGAATGGAGGATTAGAAGGGTGAAAGAGCCGACAATCAGTCTGTGTTTAGTGCTGGGACAAGTGGCATGATAAGTAATAATAAACACGAACCTGAAGACTGAATCTACCCACACTAGTGAACATAAAATGACCTAGTGAAATGAAAAACAGCCACGAACTGTGGGATTTGATTTGCAACATATGGTAAATACCGCACAAGCACATTGATAAATGCTCGCAACAAAACGTATATACTCAAAACAAGAAATGTATATTTAAAACGAGAAATTTATACTCATGACAAATCTATTTCCACAACTTTTAATCCGTAATATGACAGAATATACTTACAACAAAACGTATTTGATAATATATATATATATATATATATATATATATATATATATATATATATATATATATATATATATATATACATATATATATATATATATATATATATATATATATATATATATATATATATATATATATATGCACAATAATCACTACATACAACAATAAATCTACATTTATAACCATAAACCCAAATTGCCTTTAAAAAATTTAACACTGTTATTACTGTCTGTGTTGTAGGCTTTGGGGTCAGATGGCCAGTGCTGTCGCCATGCGCAAGTCAGAATTTGATTTTTACCCCGACATTTGAAAAAATCTACAACTTTACCGATGATTTAAACCTTGGTCTCATTCGTGGGAGTGCATCGTAATAACCATGCAACCAGTCGCTCCTCATAAATCTATACTAAAACAATAAATTTGCTATTGCCATTATTCATTAACATTCAATGTTATATAATCATATCTCCATTCACAGCATTACATTATGCACTCATATTTTATGTACACTCGCAACGTTACATGTGCATTCCCAAATAATAAATACTCACAAGTCTACAATCCCTGGTTTTACATTGTTACGACGATTGAAGACTTCATTAACTGATAACTTGGTTCGCACCGGGTATCTTCCCTCATTTCTGAAGACCGTTTCTATGTCTTTGGGGTCAAACACCATAACAAAATCTTGTCCCAGATATAGTTTGAAAATAGGTCCGTATTTGTCGAACAGGTCATTAAACAAGAGGTGACTTGTGGTAGCTTCCCACTTGGCTGTGAAACGTAAATACAATGAAAAGATATCAAGCAAATAAAAAGCACAACATGCACAAACGTAAATGACAGTGAACATTGTAGCTAAACCTTCATCAGCACATAACATAAATCAACAACAGAAGTACAAATAAAAATACACAAAGTCACCCTGCTGTCCGACTAATGGAATTATGACACGTGTGGCCGCCAAGAATCAATACTGGCATAAAAAATGCCAAGGGTTGTGACTCAAGGATATTAAACGGAACTGTGTTGAAAGTTAAGTCCCCTAGGTGAATAGGCATCTATGAGAAAGATAGGGCGATGAATGGGTACCTTTGGGAAAGATAATGAGAAAAAGGAAAGGAAAATAAAATGAAGTAATTGACAGAGATAATTTTGCTTTTGTCATTATGGCATCTGTGGCATCAAGAGATGGATATACATTAGTATGAGAGAGTTTACACACAAGACAATAATAAAAAGAATAAGAATAATAGGAAGGAGGAGGAGAAGAATAATAATATGCTTAATGCCAACAGTATAATAATATGTCTGATATAACATGATGTGTAGAAATAAAACATACAAAGAAAATGTGTTGTGTGTGTGCGTGGGTGTGTGTGCATATGTGTGTGGGCACGCACTACGTGTGTGTGCGCGCACGCGCGTATGTGTGTGTGTTCTGTAAAGGGGACGGGTGTATAAATTAGTTCCCTGACAAATTTAAGGGGCGGAGGGGGGGGGGGGCTGGCTTAGTCTCCCTTCTTGTGTGCGTTTACTGGCTGTAAATTCCAGTGAAAACTTCTGAGTGTTCGTCTACCTCCGGACTTAAGTCTTGTTCCAGAACCTGAGTGTTGCGCGCACATCCGTTTCACAGACCTGGTTTACTTGTATGCAGTGTTGTGGTTTCTTGACTATCAGGCAGATGTACTCCGACTTCGAAGGATGTCCCCAATTAGTGGACTCCTACGACATGCTTGCTGGGGAAACAGCGGGTCTTTTTTCTTGTTTCCTCCCCACAATGTGGCCCCAGAACCCACACGAGGAGGTGGCTTAAGCCAATTTAAAAAAAAAAAAATTGGGGGTGGAATTGTTATATATAGGTTCCCATCTTCCAACACCCCAGCGTGAAGAACTACCGCAATAATGTTTTTGGTCCACTAAAAGTATTCGTTTTATTCTCCTGACACATAAAACTCTTCGGCTTTTTGTCAGCCTGTCTGCTTCTCTTACTTAAAACAGAGTTAAATAACACCGCACCACAGATACCTACTGAATGGCTTAAAGTGGAACATGGGGCCAATCACAGGCCAGTTGTAGATTCCTTTCGGTCCTGGAATGTCTTCATAAGGCTTGACTTCTTGAGCTGCACCGTGTGTCTGTGAAGCTGTGCTGTTTGTGTGTGCAACACGTCTGCTGAATACAGTTGATGAGATGAGGGCACTGCTGCAGCCAGCTCTTTGAAATGTTTGCACAAGAGCCATTTGCTATGTAAAAGAAATATAATTATATAAAAGCACTTTTTCAATTACTGTAAAAGTGGAACTTCCTCCCTAAAGCGAGAATGTATTGATCGGTACTCATAGAAAGAAATGGAAAGATAGAAGAATACACTCGACAATATAACAATCGTAAGCAGTAGTTACCGTGCCGGAAATCGAATCTGTCACCTCCTGATGGCGTGTGCGCCTCGCTATGGAAACACGTGCACTAAGAACATGGTCAATTAGGCACCCCGTGTTGCGACAAAAGGATGTGAGTCATAGACTGTCCAGCAATCATTAGGGAAGAAACTAGGGACAAAGAAGTAACTAACTTCTGACAATCCTAGAATATTTGAATATTAAAGTAGGCAGCTCGTAAATAGCAACTTGTCTCAGAAACAAATATTTAGACTATATCAAACATCAAAGGTGGACTGAAAAGAACAGAATCAGGGAAATGGTACCGGACAAGAGGGGCAGGGGCCGACCAGTATAAAGATGGGCACAATGCAAATCAGTTACTTTGGACGTTATAGTGCATTGTGCAGAAGAGCACCTGTATTCATTCTGTAAATAATTTCTCCTATTTGCTCGGTTCACGGGTAAAGCAAAACGTTAAAGAACGCTGTTTTTACGCATCTGACTATTTAAACTAGAAAAACATCACATTGAGTTAAATCAGGTTAACGGTTCCCACATAACCATACGGACATAAAGAAATAAATTATAAACATTTATTACATCTCTTTTAAAATAAACCTAAATAATACGTAGATCATATGACACAAAAACTTACAAAAAGAAAATAAATGGGTAATAAACTAGTATATCATATTCACTTTTAACTGGACGTTTTTTAAACCAAACTGGACAATTTTTTAAAGCAAACTAGACACTACACACACACACACACACACACACACACACACACACACACACACACACACACACATAAGGAAAAGGCAGCATTTCAGAAGATAAGTAGTTTCTCTAAAGTAATAAATTACTCTCATTAAACATCAGAAAACGAGTACTGAAATTTTATATCGACTCTGTTCTGTTGTACAGCAGTGAATCTTGAAATGTGAGCAAACAAATTAAGAAGAATTTTGAGGCAACCGAGATGCTGTTCTTGAGAAGAATATTTAGATTACCTCGGACTGCCAGAATATGTAACAATTGCTGCCTGAAAATGGTTCATGAAAGTAGAACATTATATACAACGACGATAAGGAGACAAACAAACTTCTTTGGTCATGTGATGAGAAAAGAAGCACTGGAAAATATCCCGACGACTGGAAAGATCACTGGCAAAAGAGACAGAGGGAGACTAAGAGAAATAATGGTGGATTGCTTAAAGACCGTGGCATCAAGAAATATCGTCAGTGGAATTGGTTCCAAACATTAATGACCGAGACCTGCGTAGATACATGAACGCCTACGCCAGCTGGCAAGGCACTTGATGATATATATATATATATATATATATATATATATATATATATATATATCCATATTAACCTGGAGGGTTGAACATAATACCATGCAAATAGATACCACTGCTACAAACCTGGAAGTTCCAGTATCTACAGCGCTGGTACTAACTGAAGGCAAGAAATCTATGAAACGAGTTTTGATTTAAAATGTTTAGGTGCAGATGAACTTGAATCGTTAAGCATGGTTCACTCGAAGAGTTGAGAAACTATAACAGTCACCAGCTTAGTCCCCAATGAATCCGTGAATAATGTCTCCCATTTGCTCGGTCCACGGGTATAAAAAAACTTTAAAGAACGCTGTTTTTCATTTTCTTACTCTATAAACCAGAAAAACGTCACATTGAAGTAAATCAGGTTAAAGGTTACAACATAACCATACGGACATAAAGAAATACATTATACACAAGCCTTAAATCTCCGTTAAAATAAAACAGAATAATACGTAGATCACATGACAGATGAACTTACACAGAGTATGCTTTGAAAATAAATTGGTAATATAAGTACCGAAGAAAGTATACACTGAAAATACAATAATTGACACAACATTTATGCATTAAAAGCGTAAACTGAAATCAACGTATATGTGTTAAAGAACAAGCCACACATGAATATATGCATGTATGTACGTTTGAATGTATGTGTGTAGACACACACACACACACACACACACACACACACACACACCGTTTTCACTTTGAACGGTACGTTTTTCAAACCAAACTGGACGATTTTCAAACCACTTCTAGGACGTTATTTAAATCAAACTGGACAATTTTCAAACCACCTAGCACGTTATTTAAATCAAACTGGACAATTTTCAAACCACCTAGCACGTTATTCAAATCAAACTGGACAATTTTCAAACCACCTAGCACGTTATTTAAATCAAACTGGACAATTTTCAAACCACCTAGCACGTTTTTTCAACCAAATTGGACAATTTTGAAATCAAATAGAAAGTTTTCAAAGCAAAGTGAGTACATTATATGTATACAAATTAATGTGGAAATATATATATATATATATATATATATATACATGTATATATTTCCCATATTAATCTGTGTATATATATATATATATATATATATATATATATATATATATATATATATATATATATATATATATATATATATATATATATATATATATATATATATATATATATATATATATATATATATATACAGATTATGCAGATTATATATATATATATCCTTGAGTATGAAAGTATATGAGGCAGGAGAACTGGCGAGAAACCGAGTTTCTTTCAGGCAGACTGTGATGAGAGCGACGTTCTGCAAAGGACCTGCTACATGATGATGATGATATATCTATCCCCATATTGACCTGGAGGATTGAACAGAATACTGTGTAAATAAATAAATATCACTAATACAAAGCTGGAAGTTCCAGTATCTACAGCGCTAGCACTAAGTGAAGGCAAGAAAGCCAAGAAACAAGTCTTATTAGGAACAGATGAACTTGAATAGTTAAGCCAAGACATTCTATTTTTGGTTAAACATGGTTGACTTGATGAGTTGAGAAACTGTAACTTTCGCCAGCTCTCATTTATATTATAGAGTCTTGGCTTTCAATCAGAACAGGGGAATAATGCGAACTATTATCATTACAGGATATAATATAAACGATTTGCGTTATGCAGACGATATAGTTTTGATAGCTGAAAATGCAACTGATTTACAACATCTGCTGGATATGGAGGGGACGGAGAGAGCTCAAAAAAAAAAAAAAAAAAAAGGCTTTGATTGAATATTAGGAAAACGGAGTAAAAGTAACGTTGATTTCCCTACTCCTCGCCTATATACACAATAGCTTACTTCTAATTGGTAGTTCCTGAACCTGTCACCTTGGAACACGGGGGTGTTCCGCAATGCCGTTGATATCGCGTGTTGTATAACTCGGCACGCCAGCGCTTTCAACTCTCCAAAAACAGGGAGAAACTGGTCCTAACACACCACCCCCCCCCCCCCATCCCTCCACTAGAGAGTACTGCAACCTATGTCAAAGGCATTCTCTTTCTCGGAATGAAAACGTAAATGCAAGGAATCACAGAAAGCTAACAACAGAGCGGGACACACCAGTAACCTTCAGAAACGTTGACCAGCCCAACAAACTTATGAATGAAAAGTGTCCTACTCTATTTGGGGAGATTAACGTGAACCTAACCCAAAACGGAAGTAATGATTATATCAAAGAAGATAACTCCACAATGTGATATCTCAGTTGAAGGAAAAACACTTAACCAATGCAATAAATTTAAATATCTGGGAACAATAATATCATCCGGGTGAAAAATGTGTGACAGAGATTAAAAGCAGAAGAGGTCAAGCGAAAGCCGCATTTCAGAAAATGAAAAATATGCAATAAATCGCTCTCATCTCTGTGTTGAGGGGCAGACGAAGTGCATGGGGTTTCATAGCGAAGGCGAATGGATGTCGCTTGGTGCAACAAAGCCTGGCATATAATACCACAACGTCTAGTTTGAGATTGGAGGTGGAGGCAGTCACTGCCGCCTTCCGCTGGCTTGAGAATCAGCTGTACACACATGCCGTGATTGTAACTGACTCACAGAGCATGTTGAGAAAGGTGGAGACAGGCATGCTCCGGGCAGAGTGGCCAGCATCACTTCAAAGTTCCCGGGTAGTTAGCATCCTTTGGATATTTTCTCCAGGTCATGCTGGTGTCTTGGGAAATGAGCAGTCAGATAGACTTTCCGGTTCGACACCACTTGGTTGTGAGCTGATGTATGACAAGCTAGATGTAGTGAGGGCCCTTTGGAAGCTTTTGAACAGTGCGGAGGCACAGATAAATCATTTCGGGCTGGAGAGAATGGCTCTGTGAGGAGTTGCAAGGAAAACTAAACACTCAGAGGAAGGGCGAGACGAAACAACTGAACTGATTGCTTTCAAATTTGCACACAACGTTGCCTCTGACTCAATGCGTTATTTTTTTGTTATAAAATCGCACAAATCACGAACGACGTAGCTCCAGCAACGGTCAAAACATTATTTGTTTCGTTGCCCGCCCGGATTTATTTTCAATCAATTGGCCACCTTTGACTGTGTAACGACGAACTTCACATTATTACTATATACTTTCATTTCTACTAAACGCTTGTGGGTTTAATAGCGTTGTTAGGTGTAAGCATTTTTCATTTTGCTCGGGTAATAGGGGTTCGATTCCCCGTTGAGTAATATAATTTGGGGTGGGCGGGCTAACTGGGTGGCTGCCACGTTTTGTTGTGGTTTATAGCTAGGCTGCAGTATCTGCGCTTTTTTCCGTTCGATTTTAGGGTTTATAGCTAGCCTGCGATGGCGGCGACGTGATGCTCAATGTTCATGTCACAGGTAATATTCGTTCGCCCTTGAGATGGCGGTTGGCACCTTATGTTGTGGTTTACAGCTAGGCTGCGATTTCTGACCTAAAGTCTCCACTAGGTGCTAATTTTTCTTTTTTCTCTTAAGGGCCGATTGG